AAAAAAAAAAACCCTGACAAATATTTTCCAAGATGTTTACAAGCAGGATGCAAAAAACCCCCATCTAAGTTATCCATTTAAAATTAGAAGTTCTAGTTAAGAGTTGAAGCTTTATAAAAACAGATGTTCAAAATATATAGTTTCTCCTTCCATAGAGAATAATTTCTTGTCAGGTGATTCTTGGAACCTGAGTATGACAGGAACTGCAATTCATCCCATCTCCAGGTGCACTAAACTGCTGGTTTTACTGAAGCTATACCGTGCTTTGATCCTCTACCAGAATATAGAATAATCAAGCCAACTATAGCAGGAAGGCACAAAGGTCATTTTGAAAATAAAAAATTGGAAGGGGTTGTATACATACAATCATTAAACATATATTTACAAGTAATCTGAATATTGGAAAGTAAATGGCCCTCTCCCCCCTCATCAATAAATTTTGATTTTTTTTTTTTTTCTTAAAGCAATACTAAAAGTACCTATATTACAATGTCTCTTGGAAAAGACATGAAATAAAAACAATTTTAAACCAGGGAACAGGAGTAAAAATAGAAATGGCCATCCTGGAAAAAGCAGAAAATTAAGTGTGGTGAATTCTGCTCTTCATTCAAAAATCCTGTTCTGATTACCAATACAGAATATAAAGTCATGCTGCATATGAAAGACTTGACTTGTTCATTAAATCTGTGAAAGGCAGAGCAGACCACTTCACTTACTTTCATGCACAGATTCAAGCACGGGATCTCAAGAGAGCAAAGAGCTCTCACCTGTGTAATAATCTCACATAAACAAAGGTCCACGGAGCATAAGGTCAAGTCACTAATGGGTGATTTTCTTTATATATGTACCATCATCAGAAACTTATCAACAGACACAGAGTTGGAATTTTTCACACCTTTATTTTATTGTTTATACACAAAGTTTAAGATGTATTTGTCATTCTTACCTTCACATGCCAAAAGAGAAGGTCAGAGTCTAAATGGACAAGCTATGAAACCACCAGCCTTTACAATGGACAGAAATTCCTAACTTCTGCTTCCTCAGATGGTAAAAAATACTGTAAATTAATAGAGCTAAAAGAAATAACATACCAGCAACCCTGGGAGGCTTAAGAGAGCTGCAGCCATTTATAGCAGAATGCCTGAAGAGATCATTATATTATCTATGTTGATCTTCTGTATCTCACAGAACATCTGAAACATTTTGTCGCCCAGCCTATAATAAGCCCTATAATTAGGCTACAGTGTTCTAACACAGAAAAACCCTAAGCTGCTCTATATGTAGCAGACCGCCACAAAGGCCAAGTCATCTGCACCAGAGGGGAACTAATTATTGGCAAAATTAGGCTTCATGATCCCACCAAGCAGTTTTTACACTGCTGCTGCATATGAATTCCTCTGCAGCACTCTTGTGACCAATTTTATTTTGAGCACTTGAACAAAGCCAAGCAACCAAACATTTATGAAAGACAGTTTCCTGTATTGCTTCAAGCAGCTACTGCAAAACACATAGAACTGCTTTGAGCACTATAAAACATACAGAACCCTGAGATATTTACGTCCAGTACCCAAGTCAAGATAAATTAGAGGCAGTTTATATTGTCTTAGAGTATCCCATATAGAGGATTAGAGATGAAGACTTCTAAGAGGGAGTAAAGTAACGTTTTAGAGCTCTAAAATAGGAAGCTGATGTTTCAGTTCTAAACTGAAAAGAAAAAGGAATTCTGTTTAATTCTTAAGAAAAAACAAAAGTGACTATTAGAAAAACTAAATTCAGAAAAGAGAGCCTTACACTAAACCCAGGTTTAGCTCTGTTTAAAGGTAAAACCGAATGTCCAAAAGATACAGAACTTAGTAACAGCAAGAAGAAAGACACTGCTGACATTTTAACCCTTAATACTAAATTCTAGCAAGACCAGAGGGAAAAAATGCAGCGATGAAGTAAGCAGAAGGAATATTTCTTCAGTGTAAGCAAAGTAATCCTTAGAAAAGCTTACACAAACACACACTACTTGTAGCACAATGCAAGAAACTTGTTTTGTGAACTTAATAACCTCTACTGTCTCTGCATTCTGATGTACATTTCTGTCAGCCCATGTCAATACCTACTTCTCTGTTTCTGTTTGGGATCCTTCTGCTTTCCAGCTCACCAGGGCTCCTTCTTTTGGTTATTTTGGCTGACGTCCCAGAGAAATAACAACGCCCTTGAGCTGAGTGTCAGAGAGTTCAAGAAGCAACAGGTGCCCAAGGGAATCTTCAACGTGGGTCTTTAGCACAGCCTCTGATAATGCACGACTTTTTTCCCCGAACAGGAACATGGAATTGAGATACAGATTTACTGAGTGAAAAGCAAGAGTAAACAATCTCTTTGAGACAAGAACTTCCTTATGTTTTTGGTTTTTCCCCCTTTTGCTGCGGGAGTGCCCCTGAGCTTTGGCTGATGACATCTGAATGGGATTTGCTTAGCTTCCTACTTAGTAGCCTGGGTGCCTCACAGAAGATTTCCTCATCAAATACTGACTTCTGATTTTATTTCCAACATCATAGAAGTAAAGGAATCGACATTTAAAAGCCTCCGAATCAGATGCAGAAAATGAAGTGAAATTAGAGAAAACAGAAATTGTGTTCTTGCCATTTACTGGGAGCCAAAGGATGGCAGAGGAGCCCTTACCAAAATCATTATTACTTCACTACTGTCTTCATCAACTGTGACCCAAGTTCTTCAAGTTTGGTTTTCCTTACTTTCCTTTTTAGAAATCAAAAGAAGTTTTGCTCTGAGTTGAACAACGTATTTAGTGCCAAACTAAAGGATTTCATAAGTTTATCATCTCAGCTAAAAAAACCCTAAGACCTTTTGGTTGAATTAAAGCAAACCCTCCCCAGTTTCTTGGCATTGAATCTGTACTTGACTACTGAATCTAAGTTATAAAAAAATGCAACATAAACAAACAAACAAACAAAAATCACCACATGGATCATGCACTTTTAATTCCAAAATAAAAAATACTACATTTCTGGTAAGTCATGAGCCTTTCCTCAAGTTCTTCTGCAATGCTAAAAACTCTTTCCTAACAGAGATATTTGATTCTCTCACACCCCAGGAACTCCTTTTCTTCACTGTTCTCTTCCTTCCTTCATTCTTTGGTTTCTACCTCCTTGTTAGATTAGCAGGATTTGGCTTTCACTCCCACTCCCTTTTTTACAAGGCTACTTTGAATAAAAATGAGCCAGTGTCCTGTTAATGACAGACCCTTAGGGCATCTCCTTCACTTACAGTCTCCTCAATATTATTTTTTTCTTCTACAACTTACCACTTCCTTTTCATAGACATTCCTTTTTATTCCTCTCATTCATCTTCTGCCTAGCTTCAAAAACTATGTACCTTCCTCAAGTACTTCTTGCATTCCTAATTTTCTACCCTTTCTTACTTTCCCTATGCCTTTTTTAAGCTTGCACATTTGGGTCATTACTTCTTTCCTCTCTATATTCTACTTCTAGATCATCTAGTAATAACTAATAAAATTAAATATTTAAAGGTGTTCTCATAGCTTTAGAAACTTCACTCTGCTTTCTGCTCATTCTGGAGTCTCAGAAGTGACTTATTTATTCTGACCATTTTTCATGGCAGCTCTCTCATTCGACCCAACCTGTTGGCCATTTATTGTAATGCACACAATTTACAAATCCCCCAAAATCACATGCAACAGATCTAATGGATTGTATTGGGAACTTCACAACCTGAACAAAATGCACAAGGCTATTCCTTGCCTTCCAGTAAACACCTGAATTTTTAAAAGCGCTCATGCCATGTCACTACAAACTATGACAAAAGATGTTTTAACTCCATCACTCAACACACATCTGGGTTTTTCTGTTTGAAGCTACTGATGACAGACACTCCCTTCTGCTCACTGGTGTCTCACACTTGCTCATACCTTGACATATTGAAAAATAAAGACTGTGTTCATTTTAACATGTAGTTTCAAGTGTTGGGAGTTTGTACTGGATTTTTACAATAGGTTACAGTTGAAACTATATCCATAACCAATTTTGGCTATGGATAGCCAAACCTAATATGAAATCTAATTTTCAAATCTAATGAAATCTAATCTGATATGAAATCTAATTTTTTTCATAATAACTTTCTGATATTTTGGGCTGGTCCAAAGGTCACTCATTTGGAAAAGAGAAAAAAAAAAAAAACAAGGAGGAAATTGAAAGTTTTACAGTTTAAAGGAAGACTACTCACCTTTTAATTAAGTTTGCTGTAGTTTACACTTCTAAACCTTAAGAAATTGGATTAATAGTTTCTTTATTTACTAATCCTATGAAGAGCCTTAAAACACCTAAGTCTACTTTGCTTGGTTTTATTGGTTTCTTCCTATTTGTCTGCACATTGAACCTTATGACAAAATAAATGAGAGGTTTTTCCAGGATGAGTATTTGCTGGGTTTTTTGTTTGTACTTAATGATGTCTGGATATCACCAAATCTAAAAGTTATGGCTTTAATTATCTGACTCAATTCTGCACAACCACCAACAACAGAAGAGCAACAATCCTAATTTTAAATTAAAAGCACATGAAAATTTGAAAAAGTTGTTTCATCTTCCATTTCTTCCACAGGAACCTAAATCCTCAAAACCCATGTGTGTACACACAGGTCTTCTTCTATAAACACTACCTTCATAACACTTCTTACAAAATGAAGACAAGAGGAAACTAAAGGCAATATGACAATATGAAACATGGCTTTACAGGACAAGAAAGAAATTAAAAAAGCCTGAAGATAATCACAGCAGAGCAGGGTTTGTTTAACCCAGGATCACATTTACTTGGAGATGAGGCTTTAACAGGCCAGAAGCAGTCTGCACATAACAGCCTGTTTGTCCCAGCCAAGAGACACCCCCAAATTTGAAATAAAGCTACCAGCTGTCTTAGCAAAATGCCATGTCACTGTTATGTGGGGTTGATCTATGAAGTCATTTTCTTAGAATACTTACCACTAAATCCCAGTTATTTTGTTCAAGCAACGTTATAGCTTCATCAATATTTTCAATACCAGTACATGCCTAAAAATAAAAAGAAGCAGTAAACAGAATTAAAAGCATTGATCAAAATCAGGGTATTAATACCTATAATTCAATTCATTTCAGCAGGACAACAGGAAAGGTATAGGTTTCCCTCTCTGTTACAAACGGGTAACCCAGAAATCAGACTTCAAGTTTTAAACATCAAACATTTAGATACAATTCCCTGTTCCACCAGAGGACTCTTGTGTAACCTTGAGCAAGCCACCTAGGGAAGCAAGACCAAGTAGTTATCTGTAAAATCAGGACAATAGTGTTGTCCCATAAAGGTGTTTTGAGAAGTCTCTGAATTCAAATCTATGAAGCACTCATACTACTTTAAAAGGGAACAAAAAAACCTTGAAGTTCTAGCCCTGTACACTGGTTTTACCTAATTCAAGAAATCTAACACAATAGCATTTTTAAGGTTAACCCTCATAAAACCATATTTTGAACAGAGCTTAATTCCAAACACAAGAGCACCTCTACTCAACAAAAACTGAGATGCAGCAACCTGCTGCCTTTTTTTGATACCCAGACCTTTTCACCTATTCAACTTCAGCAGGAAGAGCATTGCTATTCATTCTGCCACATATTTGCTACCATTCACATTATATCAGATCTGTTTTATCAAAAGAGAAAAAAGGAAACAGCTGACTTTCTTTCTGGAATTTATCTTTCGTCTTAACCATTCTAAATGTATTCAAACACACAAGAGGGTTTGGACTTCTACAAGATCTGAAACGTGATTGTGTTCCTTCTGCTCTACCACACAGTTATATAAAACTGTGGTATATAAAACTGCACCCAAAAAATAAAAAAACCAAACCTTTTAACACTAATGATACACAGCTAGATAGCAGCAACAAACAGGTCAGTTTTCCTGATTCCCTTTATGTTGTAAGAGAAGGAGGCTAAACAGACACTTTTTTCCTTCCATGACATAAAGAGCCATCAGGTCATATACTTCCCATGTTATTTTTTTCCCAATTTACAACCATGAAAACATAAAGTGAAGAAATCATGAAAAAACTCAAGGTCAATTCTCTCTTCCTAAATTCAACCCAAAAAAATTCCACACTTACAAAGCACTACATGCAGTATTGTCACTACAAAACGGACCAGTCTGAAGGACCACAAGATGAAATTATGGAGAATTTTGCCTGCAGAGGGGAGGCAGCAGTTTCTACTGCTACACAGTGCTCTCATGACCACATCAATCCTCTCTGCAACAAGACAAAGATTCTTCCACTCCAGAACATGCTGTGTAAATGCTGAATTGCTCCCACTTCATATTGGGAATGCTAAAAAAATACCACTTTGCTCCTCAGAAGCATCATTTTGCCTTCTTTTCCATTATTTCTTGCAGTTATTTCTGAAGTTAAAAATGGAACAGAACTTTGACACAATCCCAGCAAATGCTTATACATTTATGCCAGTAGGTTTGAAGAGTACAGGCCTTGAGCTTGTTGTCATTTCTGAAATCACAGGATAGTTCATACTACCATCAACCTGCACTGGAACTGATGTCAACATATATATCTACTGCAAAAAATCCTGCTTTGAGAAAAAGCTCTGCAGAAGTCTGAGATTCTGTTTACATTTGAGTGAAATACACTTAATTTGGTCATTACAGAAATAGTTACTATTTCTCATTTGTCAGTCATGCAAAATCTGCATGACCTTTTTAAGAACTACCTCATATTCCAACCTCCAATAAGAACTTGACCAACAATGTGTTGTTTTCACCCCTGGGCTGTGCAGATGAAGCTGAGGAGATGGTACTTACAATACAGCATTTAACAGGATTTTAGTTGTCCCTTCTTTTTATCACTCCTGCAGCTCTGCTGACTTGCCACTGTCTTCTCTTAGCCCATACTAACTGCAAATCAATTCAGCTCACTTCAGCATACTCTCATTTTGTGATAAACTAAACAAAATTAGCTTATCCTCCTGCCAGAGCACACAGTGAAAGGAGTTAACTCATCACAGTGAGGGCAAAGTAATTGAACAGCTAATTCACCTGTGTGTCTGCATCCTTCCTGAATCATCTTTCTGGTGATTTACAATGTAAAACAGAAGCCTGCTCTTGGTCACTTAGCAATGCAGAGTCACTGGGTAACAAGAACAGACAGGTGTAAACACCAGCTGAAAATAAAACTCATCAGAATTCTTAATAGCCAAGACAAACAGTTTTGGTTAAAAATCTTTGCACCATTTTTACAGTCCTTTTTCATAACTGATTTAGAGGAGTTCTTAAACAAAGATTTCACTTTCCAGACAGACCATTTTTGCTAGTTGTCAACAAAACAGAAAACAAACATTTCAGAATTGCATCAGGAAAGAATGAGTGCTACTGATCAATGTAGCCATAGATCAGACATTCCCAGATCTTCAACACACTGTTAATATCAGAGTTGCAGCAAATTAAGATTATTTAGAATCTTATTATATTGCACTTATCATATTGCATTTCAACATTAAAACACTACGTACTATGACATACAAATCCTTGTATCAAGTCAGAAGCCATCCGTGAGACCAAAAACCCCCAGCAACCAAAAATTAAAGCTGCTTCTTTCTACCTGCATCATGTCTTGCGAGCTAAACTAAAGAAAATCATCTGATTTGCATGCCTTTGCTTTTCCCTAAGAAATTAAGCACACAAGACAGGCAGTCCCTCAGTGGCAAGCATGACATGACACCAAAGGCTCTGCGATGACAAATCAGTCCCAGAACAACCTGGCCTGCTCCTGCCTTTGCTTTGTTTAGGGAAACACACAGAGAAACCAGCAGGTTCTGTGAGCAACAGAATTAACAAAGTCTGGTTCCTCATGGGTTTGCCTCTCATCCCTAATTGCAAGGGCTGATTTCAGCTTTTCCTATGGCTGGAATATTTATAAGGGCCTCTTTGAATGGACTAGTTCCCGTATTACCTGGCTGTATTTTCATTATATTTGGAATAGTTTCATTAGTACAAGACCAAGGGACACCTGGCACCTTAGGGCTCTATGCTTCACTTATCTAGAAAAGCACACAGAATTCAAAGGGTTTCATTATTTACAATACATAAAGATTTTTTTCTTCATGTTTATTCCTGTTATCCTACCCAAGCAAGAAACAAACAAATAAAAATTTAATAGGAAAAAGAAAATTAAGTTTGTTCAGAAACATAAGTGAAAAAACCCTTAAAAAGATAGCACAGCAGATGAGCCCTAAAGATGCAAAAAATGCATCTTTGAGCAAGTAAAGAGAGGGGCTGAGGAGACTTTTTTATTATTCACAGATTTTTATTCAGCTTTACTTTCATGAGAGACCTACTTAACAGAAGGCATTAAATATTTTAAAAGAAAATTCCTACCTGAATACTACTAAATCTTGTTTCAGTGAACAACCTGCACATCCTCTAAGTCATCAAAAGATGAAAGAAACAAACCACCACAGAAAAGGTAAAACCTTGAAGGCTCACTGATTTGTAAACCTTTACACATCAGAAAGAAACCAAATAATTTTTTCAGAGGACAAAGGAGAAGAAAAGGTAGAACAAGTTCCTCCTCCTCCCTGCATTTCCTGTAAATCTAGGATATCATTTTCAGCCTTCACAGCAGCTCCAGAGACTCTGCAATCACTTCTGTGCTTTTCCAGACCACACAAGAGGAAAACGAATGCAAAGATGAGAAAACTATTGTTGTGTGCTGAATGCATAATCAGATTCTGAAGATAAGGTTACTGAATGTTAAAACAACTTTCTTTGCATCCTGCTTTTCCAGGGCAGGTAAGTGTTTCCACCAGGCAGATTGAAATTTTCACATAATAAAATTTCAGCGTGTTCTCCAAATTTTTTTTCCAGGTAGCTTCATATCCCCTCAGTGATGGAGACCTTACCCTTGGAATGTTCCACAGGTAACCATTAGGGTGCTATCCTTGCACAGTAACATTAGCCTTAATAAAAGAAGCTAAGTAGTCACTGAGGAAACAAGTTGTGAGGGCAGACAGACTCCAAGGCATTTGAGACAAACCTAGGAGCTGCTTCCAGAAAGTTGTAATGCAGGATGACAGACTGGCTCTTCTAAATCCCTTGCAGGGTGGTCTGACCCCAGCAGCTGTAACAGCTGGATGTGGGCTTTGAGACCCTCTGTGACACCCCCCCCAAACAGCCCAGGCTCCAGCCCACCTCCTCAGCCCAGGGAAGCAGCTGCCTTCCCCATCTGGCAGCAGCTGCTCCCCAGCACCTGCTGCAGGGTGCAGGCAGTGGTTCCATGGCAGAGCTGGAGGGGCCAACTGCTGCTGCCAGCACAGAGCCAGGCTGCTCCTGCAGGGCTGCTCCTGCAGGGCTGCTGCTGCAGGGCTGCTCCTGCAGCAGGGCTGGGAGAGCGGCAGCAGCTGCTGAGACTCACCCCCGAGAGGCAGCGCCTGCAGCTGCTGCACAGGAGCTGGCAGCACTTGGCAGCAAGGCAGGATTCCTCTCACCTGTGGCACTCCTGGCTGAGGCAAAATGCTGCAGGCAAAGTGGCCAAAAGGCCACTTTTGGCCTAACAGCAGTAGCTGGATATGGAGGACTAAGTCTCAACATGCCTTTTGAACAGTTCCATACTTCCTTTGGATGCTAACAGTAGCTGTGTTTTCTCCAAAAAAACTAGAAGTTTTCTAACCCAAACTAGGCCTAGAACATTTTGTAAAACAGGTTCAGGCCCACTAAAACCAGGCAGAGACAGCTGTGAATTACATTGGATCCACTCGCTCCTCTAACAGATGAAAAATAAAATAATCTGTAGCTCAGTCCATCATTTCAGTGTTTAGCCAATGTCACAATGCCCAAAGAAACAACTTTTGGTGAAGGCACCAAAAGATTCAGCCGGATTGCCTAGGAAGAAAAGCTTTCACCCTCTGGGATCTCTTACAAAAGCATTAACACACCTGCAAGTGCACAGGCATCACCCTAGGAAGCACTTACTTTTGAAAGCACCAAATAAATTTTTATCACTAGATAGAGCACGGCAACT